CTCTTTTCCATTGCAGAGAAGTTTTCAGAAAAACACACATATTAAGAAGTCAAGAGTTAATCCTAATTAATTTTACTTTATGTTATTGCCAATACAGGCAGGGGAAAGGACAGGAAAGGAAATCATAGTCTCCTTTGCTTCCTTCATCTGGAAGAACGTACATACACAAACTAGAATGTAATCAACCACCTTAATGAACTCAAACATTTTAATGTACGAGGCACAGCCTGGGAAAAGGAGGAATCATATTAAATTAGGAAAAAATAAAGAGATAAACAAAAAATGTAAATATCACTCATAGGTTGTAAGGAAGGATTAAGACGACAAAAAATTTTATTATAAACCTATCAATTTTACATTTTAGATCTAGACGACAAAAAATTTTATTATAAACCTATCAATTTTACATTTTAGATCTAGCTCCATGATAGTCACAGCTAGTCTTTAACTAATTAATCAGAGTAGATGGAGTACAGTAGAAATGAAAGAAGCAATTCTTAGACATTCTTGACTTTTTCTGAAACATTTGTCATTTCTTCACAAAGACAACATACATGTATCTTCAGGTTTTCAGAGAAGTTCTGATTTTATCTATTCTTTTGATTGATCAGTTAAACATATAACTACATTTAACTTTTATGTCCTTGTAAAACTTTGCATATAAGTAAATTCCTTAAGTAGAGAAGATCCAGATTTGTTTCAAGGCTTGGGATGAAAGGTGTACCACCAAATTCAGAGAACTGGAAATATCTGGCCTTCATGAGAACAGAAACCTATTGGGTCTGGTTGAGATTGTATTAATTTTCTCACCGACCTCTTGCCTGGGTAGTCTGAAATCAAAACTGCGTTCTGCTCTAGCTTATGTTCTCACTGGGAGTACTTATTAGATTGTGAGTATGGTTCCTGGGGCTAATGAAATCCACATGGGTTCCTCCCGGTTGAGCACTTTCTCCTTGTTTTCTGTTTCTGAAGCACCGTGCCACAGGTTGCCCCTCTGGCGAGAAGTCTCAGGGCACATTCTCTGTCCAGTGTAAAGCAGGGTTATATAGAGAAATAAGTCAGATTAATAGCACATGTTAGAAATCACCACCAAGCCACCAATATCAAGATTTTCCCATAATAGTGACAAAGGTACATAATAGACGACGATAGGGGCAGGAAAGTTTTCAACTAAGAGGGAAACAGCTTTGTTGGCAGTAATACAAGAGTGGACATAGTTAACATTTGTTGAATGATTACTGGGTCAAGCCCTGGGCTAAGTATTTTACTTCTATTATCTTGGTTAATCCTCATAAGACTCGGGAAAGGTAAGTACTAATAATACTCCTGTTTTACCAATGAGAAAACTGAATCACAGAGGAAAAAAATGACTTGTTCAAACAGTGGGAAGTAGATTTAAATAATATCCAACTAGCAGACCTAAATTGCTTAACATCTGTCTTAAAATTCAGTCCAATGAAATCATTTGGTTATC